TGTTAGTACGATCAGATATGTTGATTGTTTAGCTGACTATTATGAACAAATCGAACATATGAAAAGAGCCGTAAACTTTGTTTAACTCCCCTAGAACAGGATTCCTTTTTGTGCATGTATACAAACAACTGCTTATGTTTAATGTATGCATCTGTTAAATGCCAAGCTACATACACAAGCAGTGGCGTCGCTAGGTCGGGTGTCACCGGATGCGGCACTTCGTTGTGTCACCCCCCCCCCCCCCCCAAGAAACAATGTTTGATTTGTACCTCGTTGTACTCAACATAACATTACGGTTGCTTAACATTTTATTATTATATTTTTCTTTAATCCCAAATTTATGTCAGCTCCACTTAAATGCTCAAACAATTTTATTTTCAAGTTTAAAAAAAAAACATTGTAATTAGACGTTTTGTATCGATCTATGTATAAATAAACCATCTTAAATGAATGAAAGTACGCTATATGTAAGAAATAAGTATTACTATTGTAAATCTGTATCAGTCCTCACAAGCCGGTGATGAGAACTGTAATACTAAATATGTCTTTTATGCATTACTACACCTCTCATCACAGCGCCGTTAAACTTTGGGAAGTTGTTGAGAATATTACTGGTGAGGTTTCTATGAAATAAAGTAATTTTAAATTCGCCGCCCCGGCAGGGCACGATTTTAAAAAAAATCCATTTACGCTATATAAAGTCAATTGCAGTTCGATTACGGTTATCCGAGTGCCATAAAACTTTAGGGAGTTGATGAATACTCCCGAGAAGGTTTAATTCAAAGTAGGAAAAGTACCACTTCCGGTTATCGGAAATCGCTCAAAAGTTGATACGGATCTACGATTTTGATAAAATACTTATATATTAAAATTTCATCAACCTAGCTGTAACGGTACTCAAGTTATCGTGTTTACACACACAGACACACAGACAGACAGACACACAGACATACGGACAAGATTGCAAAATTATGTTTTTCCGTATCAGTGAGATGTAAAACGTCGAGATTTGTAAAAATCTCGATTTTTTTTGCACGATTACAAGACTTTCTCTATACTTCGTATATACGAGAAGTAAAAAAGAAAAGCAGGCTGAAATCAGAGCCAACTGCCTAAACTGGCGCATAAACAGATGACACGTTTACCTACTTGTGTTAGAGGGGATCCCTTCCAACACTAAAAATTAAGAAAGAAGAAGAAGAAAGAAGAACTCTTGTTTGATTGAGGAGTTGGGTTGTTGTCCCCGACTTTTAGTATAATCTGCCCCGAATAGTAACAGTCATGATGAAGTCATTGAAAGCGTTTCCTGATTTACAATGCACGTCTAATTTGTAAATTTGGCTTAACTTTCAGCTATTAACAAAGCATTCAGTTTCCTCACGCTTAAAACTTATCCGCTGTGACGTAACGCCACTCGACACTAACCTTACACTCACGACATCAACATTGCAGGCAGTAGCTGTGTGAAGGCAGCTTCCAGCTGTCCAGAAAATGTCACCTGTGTACAGGTGCCCACAGCCTCTTGTGTCCCCAACACCTGCTTAAGCTGTAGCGATGGTGAGATCTGTCTTACTAAGACGGCGGACTGCCTAGAGCAGGGGTCGGCAACCTTTTGAAGCGGAAGAGCCAAAAGTTACAATTTTCAAAATTTCCCTGGTTTTAAAGAGCCACTAACATTTTTTTATTTCAAATATTTTATTTTTTTATTAAGATTATTAGTATTTGTTCAAGGAGCTGAAGAGCCGCATCTTGATATCAAAAGAGCCGCATGCGGCTCGCGAGCCGCAGGTTGCCGACCCCTGGCCTAGAGAACCAGTGCGAATTCGAGTGCAGAAAGGTAGATAACACCATGAGTCACCATATTTGATCGATGATGAGTGTAAGCTTCTATAAACGTCTGACTCAAGTAATTGTTTGATTTATGAAATCTGTAATTGTGAACAATTGCCATTTTTAGATTCGTTTTTTTTCTTGGGAGACTTTGTAGCATCTTAAGAATAAATGGATTTATTTTAATATTTAAAATGTAATACGTGAATAATGTACTATGACGTAGAGTGTTGACAATACTATGTCGAGTTAAAAGAAACACGAGAACCTCAACTTTACTTGACCAATGGACCGTCAGGTTAAAAAAAGGGGACTTAACTTTTTATTTCTACATATAATGACCTATTATTAGTTAACTCAGCAATTAATGATAGTCATTAGCCGCGAGACATCAAAAATGCTATAAATTAAAAGTTTCTGGATTGTGATGTTCAAATCTTGACTAAAATGTCAGAGTACTAAGATGTTATGTAAATTTAAACAAAAGTATTAAACTAATCAGTTTTAAGAAGGTGTTTGCTTCATAAAGAAACGCTCTCTCGAATTGATAATCTCTTGTTTCCAAATTTCTTTCTGAAGCTCCATGTAATATTCCTAAATTCTTTGATGTACTTGTCTTATTTTTTTAAATTATAACCATAATTACCATAATTATATAATAATCCACTGTATGTTTTTTCATACTTTCTTTCTGAAGCAACATGCAATATTCCTAAATTCTTCGATGTGTATGTCTTATTTTTTTAAAATTATAACCATATATATACATATATTGATACATTGTGCTTTTTTTCATTCTTTCTTTCTGAAGCACCATGCAATATTCCTAAATTATAACCATAACTACATATAAATATCTGTCCGTTTTTTCATTCTTTCTGAAGCACCATTCAATATTCATAAATTCTTTGATGTGTATGTCTTGTTTTTTTAAATTGTATTTAATGTTTATACATTGTCCGTTCTTTACGTACTCGCCAGCTGGATAAATGCGGAAACTGCCCTAATAACATGGTGTGTAAGGACACGGGTTTAAGGTGCTACCCCGAGCCTTGTGAGTCCTACACGTGTGTCAAACCCGACGAGTGTGGGGGGTGCCCCGGGGACGAGGAGTGTGTTATGATGTCCCCTACCAGAGGGGACGTTGGAGACTGTGTCGTCAGGGAGGGCAAAACTGCTGAGTGCAACAGCACACTGTATGGCGCAGAATCCATGCTAAATGACACTGAGTTTGTGTGTCTTCCAACAAACAGAAGTCTTCCTCAAGTGGTAAGTTAGCTGAAAAAGGTAAACCTAAATCAACAATACTCTATGAAAAAAAACGTAATTACTTATTTTTATTTTTGATGATTAATAATTTCAGGTTGCAGAATGACATAAATCATTCATGTTATATCTGTATATATTGGTTTATTTCTAAAGTGTGTTGACTGCGGGGTGGTCAGACGGTTGGGCGTAAGGATGTTAAACTCTTAAGTCTCGAGTTTTAAACCTAAGTCCGTAAGAGGTCCCTCAGTCACACAGCTTTGATGGGTACCTGATCCACATTAGAGAAAGTATAGGCGACTGGGCATAGTGCTGACCATCAAATTACGAGGCCACTGAAAAAGTTGGACTCTACTTTATATCCATTTTTTTGGATTCTTAGGTCTACACTTTCAGCCTAATGCTCTAAATTCTATACCGTGCCGTGTGGCATTCCGTCTTTCTAGGACTATAAATTGTACATACATATGTCTAAACTCTATGTCAGCATTGCTATCATCATAGACTATATTCTTATACATAGAACTCTCGAATTTTTGTGTTGTTAAATGTACACCTTCCGCAAGTTTTACCTTATATTTAAACAGTTTATATTTTTTATATATCTAGCCTGAATTCTACTGTCACAATTGTCCGGAGAACGAAATGTGCGTCGACACCTTAATTGAATGCGTCACAACGCCGTGCCCAAAGTACAAATGCGTGCCCCTTCCGCCGGTGTCATGTGATATTCACTGCCACGATGGTTATTCTGTACGCTGCGCACCAAAGAATGCACAGAGGAAGACATCGTGACATGCATGAAAACCAGAACTGCAGTGTGTGTGCCGCGCATTGGAGAGTTGCGGTACTGCGCCAATACGACTGTTGTTCCTGATGATTCTGCGGTGTGCAAAAGTGAGAAAAGAACTCATAGGCTGTGTTCTATGGATGAAAACTGCCGCGAAGGTCGAAGGTGTTGTCCGTCTAAGTGCAACAGGTACATATGCCAAGACATGATATAATTTAACATAATTGGCTTGTCAATTTATTAGATGTATACAACATTGACGAAAAGATTTTGTTGAAAATAAAAATTAAAAAATGTAGAGGTATGACATAATTTAACTTTTGTAAGTGTTATTAACTATTTAGTACAAGTCGCTTTTGTTTTGTGTCGATTTATTTTTGTAATATTTATTGAAGAAGAAAGTACCAAAAAAACTCAAATTTTGGGTATAAACATGCTTCTTGAAAAATAAAAAAAAAACAAGATGTTTCTTAAGAAAACATACAATGGCGTCTCCATTGGTATCACGTTTTCGATATGTGGTTTTTAATATTTTCAGAAGTTATGATAAAACTTTCATTAAAATGTAAACGACTATTTAACCGTTATAGACCTGTTTCTTTTCTAGTTTTTACTGATTGGGCTTGATCTATTAGTATTTTTTTCTATCTCATTACCTATATCTGTTTAGTTAAGGATTGTCAGTATGGCGTACACATTTTAGAGAATACGTTAATTGTCGTCAGTTTGTCAAGATAAGTTGTATTATGTTCTTAAATCTTTACAATGCGCTTGTTCATATTTCGGTAAAAAGTTGTTAATAATTGTGAATTTCGTCCGAATAAGACACGCCAATTGTTATCTCCCGGCAACCAAAAAAAGATAATAAAAAAGATATGATACATGTACTTTTAGATTTAAACCCTAACCCTGACCCTAACAGGATCTGGCAAAAAAAGTGTGTGTATGGGGAGGGGGGGGGCTTAGCTTTTCGATCGTAAAATTTTGGCATTTGTAGCGGGACTTTTCAGGGCAATATCCGAAATGTTTACGGAATGTATACTCAAAAAGTAAAACAGCAAAGACCATTATATGATCTTGTTTATCGTAGATAATGCCACTGTTAACTAACAAATTAATATTATTATATAAACATGGGTGCATAAATTGTTCAGCTTAAGCTTCCGTTGCATTGAACAGTTTTTCAAGTAATTCAGGAAAATATAAATTGCAATAACCCTCAATCATTTTGGACATGGAAAGCTTCGCAGGATGGAAGAAATATTTATGCAGGTAGTAAGTACTAAAGACTCGTTCTCTTTCATCGCCGTAATAGCTCTTTCCTCCGAATAAATTCAGGCTCTGTTTGGTTTCCAGCCCACGTAAAACGCACGGTACGGCTAGCTCAAGGAAGACATGGTTCTTGTAAAACATGGACAAGTACCACACCGCCGCCGCTCTCATCTTTTGTGGGATGTAATACAAATCACTAATGTCTCCGACAACTAAGTCTTTGGAGTTTGTGTGTGTTAGTAAAGTTTTTTGAAACTCCTCAAGCGATCGCACACCATCCGGAATTCGCGGAACAATAGAAATATCCGATAGTGTTTTTAGATACGCGGTTCTTCCGATTTTCTCGCCCCATCGGAAATATGTATTAACGGGTTCGGAAATGTTGAGAAATATGGTGCGGCTTTCGTAGGTGACGCCGGCGCTGGATTTGTTAAGTTCCAGCATAGCCCAAGGCTTGAACAGAAGATCGTCGGAAGTGAAGAGGTAACCACTGACACTGTATCCCATCTGCATAGCCCTGATGGCGCAGATGTAACCATCGAATCCATCGACGACTTCGGCTTCGATGAAAGAGAACGTTTGATTCATGTCTTTCGTTTCGTCTTGAAATTTGGTTATGTTTTCACCGCAGTAGAGAATGTTGGTGAACACCGGGCTATGAATGGCGTCGAGGTACTTCACGTTACCGTAATACGGGTTATTGAACACAATGATAAGCAGAATATCTGAGAAAAAATTGGCACTTTTCAGTCTACCTTCGTACACCTGAGGAGGTTGGTTATTTAATAAACCACCACACATGGAGGTAATCTTTTTCATCTTGTGACAAAAACCGTTATTGCGTGTTGGTGTCGCATAAACAGATGGAGACGGTTGCTCTACTGAGGAGTATACAACATCCGATACGTTATCTCCCTTCCCTATAACAGGGAGGTAATCAACGTTTTCGTTTAATATCTGTGAATACTGCAATGTCTCTGAAAAATTCAAATTGAATCCAACACGTTCCGGTTCAATGTAGCCAACTGATTTTAAGTCATCCAGCCAGAGTTTTGTCATAAGAACATCGTCTGTTTTCCAAAAATTGTGGTCGGCCATATCTGAGCTGAGTTTTAAGACACATTGAAAAAACGACAAATCCTTCCCACAATCCCAACTTCTCAAAAACCGTAACAGGTTTTCTGTTTGAAAGTACATATCTTTTTCTTCTAGCGCGTCTTTCAAGTACGAATGTGCGTTCCTCTTTTGGAAAGCGTTAGCAGGAAAAAATCCAAGACTACCCCCCACTTCCCATAAAAGTCTTTGCGCCCAGTACCCTCTCCAGATATCACACACTCGAATGGTTGTCGTTTTGGGGATAAACAGTGCCCAGAAGGCCTCGCTGTGGAACAGGGTGTTCTGCGAGTTGAAGGGACTGAAGACGCCTTTGGGTAAAATGGCTGGCGGGGAGGCGGGGTCAAAGATCACGTTTAGCGGTGCCGTGGTGGATTTTCTCGTGAGTCTAAATATAGCATCCATGTCGGGGTCGCCGTTGACGATTCCTTGTTGGATGGCTGGTGTCTTCCACTGACTGCCTAACCTGACGTGTAATATACACAAATAAATGAATGAAACAATAGCATAACACAAACAAGTAATGTAACTAATGTTTTTTTTTTCATCAATAAATAACAAGATTTCTATAATCGCTTTTGTTTAACAAATCGTATATCTGAGGAATGGCTGACGATTATGTTTCACGTTTAGAAGATGGGGATGGGGGGATGCTGAGTTATTTTATTTTATGGAGGGTTAATACACAAAAACGTATGCTCGGCACTACTTATCGATGACTTGGAAGAGTTAAATTTTGTTAAACACTAAAAAGACGCCTCCTCTTGATATTTCAAATGATATTCCGTATTATAAAAATAGTTGAAAGCAACAAATGCCACAACGTATTTAGCAGCGTAAAAGGACAAGAGAGCGTGTTAGCAGGCTAGGGTGTTCACAAATAGATCTGCTCCTGACATCCAACACCAGATACTGATGCACCAGAAGACGAATGGTGTTAATTCAGACTTTATCCTCATGTGGGGGGGGGGGGGGGGGCCTTGAAACTTTCTGGGAGGGGGGTGCGGACTAAAAATTCGGGTAGAGGGGCGGGGGTTGAACAGTGTTAAAAATATATATTTGTATATATAAAGTCAATTTCGAGTAAAAACCTGGAGTAAACAATCGAATATACCAGCTAGCAACATGAGTATAATAAAGGATTAGTTTATCGTCTTACCGCTGTTGTCCTGACTAATGCGCATTGCTTAGGATGGTTAAACATGTATAAAATACAAAGAAACAGAGAGTGAGGGAGTAAGAGAGAGAGAGGTGAGAGAGAGCGAGGGAGAGAGAGAGCAAGAGAGAGAGAGGGAAGAGAGAGGAGAGAGAAAGAAAGAAATTAAGAGAGAGAGCGAGGGGAGAGAGAAAGAGCGAGGGAAGAGAGTGGAGAAAGAGAGGGGGGAGAGAGAGAGTGAAAGGAGATATATATATATATATAGGATAGAGAGAGAGAAAAAAAAGACAAGAAAGAGAGCGAATGGAGAGAGAGAGAGAGAGAAAAACAACAGTAAGAGAGAGAGAGGAGGGCGAGAGAGAGAGAGAGTGGCGAAAGAGAGAAACGTGAACAGAAAACAATGAAATCTCACTTGTAAAGAGGCCGCTGTGGTACGCCTATGTGAGACAGTGGGAACCCTCTAGGCCACAGTGTTGACTGCCCGAAGTGGACGTAAGGGTTAAACACGCCATCACCAGTAAACACCAAGCCCGACATCGTGGACTTGTAAACAAAACCCTCCAAGTTGTCCAATGGCCTGATGGTCAGATAGTTCCCATGTTAGATATGAGTTTACTGACAAATGGCCTAACGTTTATAAAGTAAGTCATATTAGGATAAAGTATAGAAGCCTCTTTAGACCAAGCGATCGAATGAGCAGATGTAGTTGATATTTTTCTTAACCTGGGTATATAAAGGGAAGCTGTCGTCCCTAATATGAGTTAGGTACCCATCAGGGTATCCATAATAGACGTTATGCTGACTTGTACCTGGATTCGAACTCGAGACTTTCGGGTAAGCAGCCTAGCGATCGACTGTCACGCCATCCCACTCAAGGTCATATAGCTTCAGTTTTAGTTAGTTTACTAATGAATAGCTTACAGGGTTAAAAGTCAGTGTTTGTATTAGACTAGTTTACTGATAAATGCCTTAACGCGTTTACAAGGTAGATTGAGATATTCATTGTTAGACATATGTTGAATAATGAATGCCTTAATGTGCTTATAATGTAGACCAAACGACCCTACCTGTTATCGTCGTCTGTTTCGTATATGAACTCGGCCCCGTGTATGATTGCGTACAGGTAGCCTATGTTTTTTCTTGTGTAGCTACCGTAGGGGGTAGCCTTAGTGATGGCGAACCCCAGCTCTTCCTGCGCTTCTATGCTTAGGTAGTCACAGCCGGGTAAACTAAACCAAAGAAGTCATTTCGTTTAGTCACAAACAGGTAAACTAAATCAAAGACAAATCATATTATTTAGACAAAGTCAATTGTATTTAGCTAGACATAATCACGTAGTTTTATTCAGATTCAGTCATGCTAATTTTTATTTAGACACAGTCACTTTATTTTATTCTTTGGCCATAGCAGTAGAGTGCTAGACTGCTAACCCAAAAATCTCAAGTTCGAATCCGGGTTTAAGTCATTAAACCGTCCCTGAGCTCGCTCAGCTCTAATGGGTACCTGACTCATGTTATGGAAAGAAAAGGGGACTATGCATAGTGCTGACCACATTGTCACTTCATATGCTGAGATAACATAATCATATGACCTCTACTTTACTCTACTTCACCTGCCACGTGGACCGGCAGGTTTGAAAATGGAACTAACATTTTATTTAGACATAGCCACGTAGCTGTATTAAGAATCAAACAATTTCTTTTTAAAAGTTGTAGCTTGAATGCCTTAGCTGCCACATGTTCATTTTTATATAACATGTAGGGAGGCTGTTAGCCCTTCTTAAGAGCTATCAAAACCAAACGTTTTACATGTTGCCTATTGTGTTAATTTGTTTTTTGTTTTCCTTGCTCGGAAATATGTGTCTACTTATGCTAATAATTAAGTGTATATGTATGATATCTAGTTTCCGGTTGTAGGTGGGCAATTATTTTTAACTTTCATTGTATAGTTACATTTAACAAAAATACACTAGGAACGCCACTGTACCTCCATGTTAATGGCGTCTTCGAGTCCCCCACAACAAGACATCTCCATCCTGTGATGTTCGACAGGTACTCGACTTGCTCCGTCGGGGCGGATATTGTTGTCAGAACGATCCATTTCTTGGAAGTTTCTTCTCTTTTGAATGTGGACCTAAACCTATATTGTTTTCTCTTTAATTATGTATTTTTTTAAAATGATTACATACATCATAGTTGGCGTGGTTGGGTCGGTAAAGCTCATGATTTCAAACCGAAAATACCGAGTTCAAACACGGTATCACTGGGTGTATGACCTTCCAGTAAAGGTCACCGGTCAGGGCGCAAGAGTTCCGCCAGCCACGTGTTCGTGACGAAGGCGAGCCACCAAGATGGAGGCATCCGGCTGTGGTCAGGCATGGAGAGGGTTGGAAGCCGCCATGCGACAATAGGGCTGGTAAGTAGGTCACCAACCGGTTCTACGGCCCAATAAAACCTGCATGAGTCATAGAATTGGTTGGTGACCTACTTAACAGCCATTTTAGCCCTAGACGCACCACTATGTTGTGCCCCAACGACCATGACAAGGGTTTAAGGAATTATTAATATTATATTTCTTTTTGCTTGCTTTAGAATACAATGATTAATATTTAAGATTTTGTAAAAACAGACACAAAAAAACAGACACAAAAAATACAACAGCTTGTAAATTGTCTAATATAGTCACCTCATCATCTCTGTATTATCCTTATGTGCCTGATTTCTCTCGTCCTTGCTGGTAATCCAGCTAATCGAATAAACGAATAGTACACAGAGCAGCACAGATGTAAAGAATACCCAGCGGCGTTTGGATAATGAGTCCATCACTGTGGATATTTCCGCTGCAGAAGAGAGCTATTCTTAAAAAGACGAACACTAGCTGGTGTAATCCGGGTGATACCAGCGATGGAAAACTGTGTTTGTGCGTTTCATATAAATATTAATTGCACGTTAAAATATCAAAGTCTGTAAAAATATAATTTATACATAATACTAAATCTTTTGTTAACTATAATTTTTAGTTTTTGTACATCATCATAATTATAGAAAATGAAACTGCATTTATATTATTCGAAAAATAGAACTGTATTGATTATTAAATAAACCGGTAGTGATCTCCCCTAAACTTTCTCGAATATTCTTATATAAAACAACAGGGGATGGTAACTGCGGATATAGTTATGATTACTTTCTCGTATATACGTAGTATAGAGAAAGTATTGTAATCGTGCAAAAAAAAAAATCGAGATTTTTACAAATCTCGACGTTTTACACCTCACTGATACGGAAAAACATAATTTTGCAATCTTGTCCGTATGTCTGTGTGTGTGTGTGTCTGTGTGTCTGTCTGTCCGTGTGTAAACACGATAACTTGAGTACCGTTACAGCTAGGTTGATGAAATTTCATATATAAGTATTTTATTAAAATCGTAGATCCGTATCAACTTTTGAGCGATTTCCGATAACCGGAAGTGGTACTTTTCCTACTTTGAATTTTTCAAAAGCCTATAACTTGAGTACTATTTCAGATAGATAAATGAAATTTCACATGTAAGTAAAAGATCTAATTCTCTACCTTCTGTTAAATTTTGAGTAATTTCCGTTGACTGGAAGTAGTAATTTTCGCTACTTCCGATTTCTCAAAAAACTAATGTAAATTTTTAAAGTACTAATAATATTGCGCACTATTATACGCGTTTTTATTCGGCGTTTGCTTGGTGCGCAATGTTTTTTTTATGAGATTCTATTCTATTTTTAAAAGTTTAAGTATTTAAAATGGATTAAAAATCATAACTATATCCCCAGTTACCATCCCCTGTTGTTTTATATAAGAATATTCGAGAAAGTTTAGGGGAGATCACTACCGGTTTATTTTTAATCCATTTTAAATACTTAAACTTTTAAAACTTTTAAATATAGCTCAGTCGTAGATCTAAAATATAGGTAATTCTATCTAGATTTAGATAATAGTGATTTTCTATATACTAAACTATTTTAGACCTTTATTATTTTATATAAATCTTTGTTTGGAATATGGTAATTTTGAAATGCTCGCTCCGGGCCTATCAGCGTAGCTAATGATTAGATCTAGAAATCTAGATCTAGATCTAGATCTAGCAAGAAAAACTAAACTTAAGACCTAAGCAAGCGAGTCGTAGAATCTAGATCTAGATAATTCTATCTAGATCTAGCTAATTTCAGAACTTCTTTATTTTATATAAATCTTTGTTTGGCTAATTTAAGATAAAATTTAATTTGAAAGTTACTACTACTACTACTAGACTTAGATCTAGATCTATGCGCGTAAATCATGTTGCATAAGGAGACTCATAGTATAGTATAAAAATTCACGGTTGACGTCACGAGTAAATAGCTAAGTTGGTAACGTAGCCAGCTCTCATGCGGGTGGCATAGGTTCTAGACCAATATGTTAATGATTTTTTTTTTCAATTTTTTTTTTTAGATGTGAATGATAAAGTTGCCTATCTGAACTTGGCAGGATACAGGGCAGGTGAAGTAGAGTTCATCTGTTTCTTTGTCCTAAGCATATGAAAGGATAGTGTGGTCAGAGACATGCGCGGCTGGAATCGTATTTTAAACGATAAAAACATGTCGTCTGAGACTTGGCGGGACACTGGGCAGGTGAAGTAGAGTTGAGTAGGTCACCTGTGACGTCAGTATATGAAGGGATAGTCTGAAATCGGTGTTTTCGGTGTTTTTAAAAGATAAAAACATATTTTTGAATGTGGGGTCTGTTTTTTGTGACGATAAGTGACACTGCAGTAGCGTAGCGAGGAGGGGGGCGGGAAGGGGAGTGGGAGGGGAGGCGGGGGGGGGGGGGGGGAGGGGAGGCGGGGGGGGGGGAGGGGAGGCGGGGGGAGGGGAGGCGGGGGGGGAAGGGGGGCGGGGGGGGGACATATGTTGGGGCGCCAAAATGGTTTGGAAAAATAAATTGAAAGGTTGAGGGGGGTGCAAATCGAAAGTTTGAGTGGGGGGGGGGGGGTGCACATCAAAAGTTTGAGGGGGGGGGGTTGCAAATCGAAATCTTGCGGGGCGAGTTCAAATCGAAAAGTTTGTCCCCGGGCGCCGGGAAGGGTCGCTATGCCTCTGAGTGACAGACGTGATGTTTTTTGATGGATGACCCCCGAAACCCACAGTTATCCAACGGATGACGGGTATTCTAGTTTTTCCTAAAGCCTACATGTGAATGATAAGGTTGACTATCAGGACCTCGAAGGGATAGTGTGGTCAGAGACATGCTCGGCTGGAATCGTTTTTTTAAACGATAAAAACATGTTGTCTGAGACTTGGCGGGACACTGGGCAGGTGAAGTAGAGTTGAGTAGGTCACCTGTGACGTCAGTATATGAAGGGATAGTCCGAAATCGTTGTTTTCGGTGTTTTTAAAAGATAAAAAACATATGTTTGAATGTGGGGTCTGTTTTTTTGTGACGATAAGTGACACTGCAGTGGCGTAGCGAGGAGGGTGGGACATATGTCCCCGGGCGCCGACCTTAGGGGTCGCCAAAATGGGTTGGAAAAATAAATTGAAAGGTTGAGGGGGGTGCAAATCGAAAGTTTGAGGTGGGGGGGGGGTGCAAATCGAAATCTTGAGATGGGGGGGGGGGGTGGTGCACATCGAAAGTTTGAGCGGGGGTGCATATCAAAATGATGATTGGCTATTATCGACATTAAGTAATAGCAAAATTTATATATGTGTGTGTGTATATATATATATATATATATATATATATATATATAAAGCGCCAGAGCGTTTTGGTGGGATTAGAAGATAGTCTAACGGAATATATTAGGATTGATTCATCTAAGCGTTACCAATCCTATATTCTTAGACGTGTGATCTTGTTTTCAAAAACGGTGTTATTAAAGTGTAAACCAAGCCTGCGCTAAATTTCATTGGTCATTTTAATCGGTGCACGAGTTTACCTACACTACCGCCCAGCAAGCACACTGGAGAGCTGTATAAACGCCTTGAGTGTACGTTAATCACTCACCGTAATAGTGTGGTAAAACACAATTCGGCGATCGCTTAATTGTCAGGGACATTGATAGGCGTTTCAAGGAACCCCCGACTACACTACTGAATGTGTGCCTCGTACGGCCCCTAGCTCGGTTTAATAATCGAATATTGTCTGCCACCATGTCAATATTTTAGAGTGCTCCTTAAAACTACCATAGGCACCCAATCGCACACAAAGCTGAGGTGCCGGCGGACGTGGCTAATTAAATTCTCTAAAGGACTATGATTCCCCAATCTTATCAATTGTCTATCACACTGTTTAAAACAAATGTAAGCGTCATAGCAATTACACTACCGCAAGGGCGCTGCGTGTGGCCGATGGCTCAATTTCTTTGTCAATATTAAAGGGTGCTGCTTAAAACGAGCGTAGGCGCAGTTATGCACACAGCATAGCGCTCGGTGCCAAATAGAACCTTGCCGGTGTGCCGGCGGACACGCCTGATTGTGAATAACTCTAAATTCCAATTCCCATCTTATTTCAATTCCCGTCATTTAGACTTCCGAAAAAAGGCTTCCGTCGTTTAGTTTCTCGACCAAACGACCCCGTCAATACGACTCCCGACAAATATGCTCCCGTCATTTAGTTTCTCCACAAAAACGGCCCCCGCCATTACGACTCCCGACAAATAGGCTGCCGTCATTTTTGCTCACGACAAATAGGCTCCTGTCAATTTTGCTCCCGACAAAAGGACACTGACATAAAGTGACTAAGTCTTTCGGCATCAATATTCTTTAGAGTTAATTTATCTAACACTCTTAAGTAATAAAACGTATGCATCTCTTGCTTGGCAGGCCTTATTTTTGCAATAGTTTATCTATTATAATAAACCGGGAGTGATCTCCCCTAAACTTTCTCGAATATTCTTATATAAAATAACAGGGGATGGGAACTCGGGCTACAGACATGATTTTTAATCCATTTTAAATACGTAAAGTTTTAAAAATATAATTAAATCTCGTAGACAAATTAATTGCACACCAAGTGAACGCCAAATAAAAAAGCGCATAATAGTGCGCAATATTATTAGTACTTTTAAAATTTACATTAGTTTTTTGAGAAATCGGAAGTAGCGTAAATTACTACTTCCAGTCAACGGAAATTACTCAAAATTTAACAGAAGGTAGAGAATTAGATCTTTTACTTAGATGTAAAACCTGAACGTAAAATTATATAACATTAGTATTTGAATTTTTATTGTATTAATAGATGAAATAAAAAAATAAAACCATCGTTTTGGTATTAATAACATTTATTTTTCATTTACAAACTATTATAGTTTTAAAATATTAAGACATTAAAATAATATTGCATGTCTGAATTTTATCAATAGTAGAAAAAATAATTCACAAATTTAGAAATATTAATTATTTATATGATACATATATATATATGTATGTATAAACGTTTACAAATATTCGACTAGCAGCATAACTAAAAAAAAAAGTAAACTTACAAGTATAGACTTTTGCGCAGTTTGAAACAGCAGAATAACCTAACAGTGATTGCTGTTCATTTTATTCTTTCAATGTAGACAAAGAAGCTAATCAAAATCCATAACTATAAACAACAAAAGCTTTTGATTTCTTTAACGTTTAAAATATTTCAAAGACTTTACAAATTGGTTTCCCTTCAAAGTAAATGTTGAAGCTAGATCTAAAAACACATTATTTTTAACATCAAAGCTATTTGGCTACTCTTTAAAAATCGATATTTATACAACCAGATGTTGCATTAAATAATACGTAGGCCCTATACCAGA